GGTTTTAATCAGTATCACAGTTGGCGCGCTTCACGAAAGTTGCGTTGCTAACGTGCAACTGATGGTCAAGGATAGGTCCATTGAAGGTGGGAGCTTCTAAATGTCGCAACCTTATGTCCCTTTGGAATGTCTAAGGCTTTGAGGATGGTGCAGGATAAAATCTTTCGTTCCATATCACAAGGGGGCTGAAAGAGGGAGCAAGTAAAAGAAAACGCGAGGGCCAGAGTAGCCAATTTTCATGAATGAATGTTTAAGGTATGATTACTCATTCTAATTTTCTTTTATTAATGTATTTGTTAAGAAAGAGCGTTTAATAGGTTAGAGAAAATAAGTGTTGACAAGGTGTGAGTGGACATACAACTGACAAATGGAGGCGATTCGGAAAGGAGCTGAGAGTATTGGATTATGTGTGATTATAAAATAAAATATAATGCTTAAACAGCATTGTGATATGCAATTGGCTGTCTTCCATTTATTATCGAAGCAATTGGAGCCCTTTTCGTTTTTTTTTGTATTATTTTTTTTCAGGTATACCTGAATACCCTATAATATATTATAGGGTCTTGTGTAGCCTTCGTATATTAGCGAATTGTCAATTTTGCTTGTAATAGGATTTCTGGATAGGAAGTGAAACCAATTCAACGTTCGTAACACGATTTAAAGATACATTTTGCGTGATAAATCAGCTTCCATACCATAACTTCGTGACATCCCACTAAACCATAATGAACCGTAATTAAACAAAATGTTCTGCCCTACAGACTTGGGTGGATTGAATTTATCTCCTCACCATCATGTTTTCTGGTCAGTAACGCCAACCTCCCTGCTTTTGTGATGCTCGGCTCTCTCACGTTTGTGGTGAGTATGAATACTGCTTTAATCAAAGCCCATAGTTGGAATACACTGTCTCTACTAGGTCCATGTTACAAGCAAATCAGATAGTTGGAAAGTCTTTTTTTTGGGTTAGATGTTCATATAGTGTATCACACTGCTATGAAAATAACTAATGGTTTAAAGAAGTAAGGACTAATAGCAAATCAAAAGATATGAGAGGGTATAAAACTGTAGAAAGAAAAAGATTTCAGGATAAGACAAATAAAACATTGAGAAACTCACAAGACTTTGTGGCCAAATTTTGAGCTTTGTATGATCGGCCTTAGTAGATCAGCATCCATAAGATTGAGCTATCTGTCTACTTGCAGTAGAAAAAAAAAGCATGACTTTTAGGAAGAATAATGTACATTTAACCTGTAGAGAGATTTCGGAACTGAAAGCTAGGGTTAGGAACATAAGGTTATGATTAATAAGCAATGAATAATAGGAAAGGATAAGCCATATATTCTGTGGTTTGGTTATATTCGTATTAGTAACAGTCGAACTTGTTATAGTCTTGTTCTTTCTAGATACTGAGCGGTCCGTAATAAAGTGCCTCATTGTTGGGTGGGAGTTCAAGGAAATGTTGCAGCTCTTTGGAGTCTAGAAATATGGTTATTAGCTTTTTGAATCTGGTAAACGTATCACAGTCGCGGATAGGCATTGGCAGCCTGTTCCACAATAAGCTATACCGTACTGTAAAAAACTTACAACGCATTTGTTTTTGGTGTTTTACGGTAAGTAGTGTATATGCGTTGTTTCTAAGTCTATAGGCTGGGTCGTGGGTGATAGTCGGGCAGGAGGTTAGAAAGGAGAGCCCATATATCGCTTTGTAGAGAAATATTAAATTGTTTTTTAGCCTTCGGTGCCATAAAGGTTCTAAAGATAGATGCTTACATCTGTCTGTGTAATCGAGACTCGAGTTACATCCTAGTAGTTGACGTGTGAAACGTCTTTGAACATCCTCTACTCTTATCTTGTCTGTGATATTCATATTTGAGAAGACAAAAGAGCAGTATTCAAGGGAGGGTCGTACACATATTTTGTAGAGAGTAAGTTTACCCTCTGTTGTGAAAAAGTTTCTCAACGTTTGCTTCAGGTCCTGTTTTAATTTTGGGAATGATATGTGTAGTTTTCCAGGCAGTAGGGTAACACGCTGAAGAGAGTGATATCGCGAATATTTTGAGAAGCAAAACACACATATCATCGCCTCCACGTTTTAGCATGCTAGATGGAATACCATCTGGTCCATCAGTGTAGGAGTGTTTCAATGTACTGATTGCTTGGGAGATATTTTGTACACTGAATTCTACATTAGTAATTTCACAGGAAGTTACTGGGATTGTTTCTGAATCATTAAATGGTTTTTCGTTAGTTAGTGAGAAACAAAAATGTTCACTAAATAATTCTGTGATAAGTTTGGGATCTTCGCATACTTGTTTGCCTTTAATGAATACACTCCCTCTCGATTTAGAGCGTTTAAGTTTATTTTGGAGTAGTATGGTGAGTGCAGAGGAGTTATTATTAAGTTCAACTGCACGTTTTTCCTGTGCTACTGCTTTTTGTTTAGTTATTGCCTCTGTTCCGACAAGTATTTCTGTCATCGTTACTAAAGAGGAAAAGTCATTTAAGTTGTGGAATCGAGTACAATGTCTTCGAAGACGTCTCCTTGTACTGACCGGTATATAGAGATCTTTGGAGAACGTAGGTTTACAGTATTCTAAAGGTGCGATGTTGTTGATGATACTTTTGATGTTGTGATAAAATATATTGGTTAATGTGTCGGTATTGTTTGAGGTAAACAAAGTTCTCCAATCAGTGCTTCTTAGGTAATTGTGGGAGTTATTCCAATCAACCTTGCGGTAGTTTCTACAAAGTGTTACGGTTTTACTTCCATCGGTTGTGGTTTTTACATTAAGGCTGCATATGACAATGTTATGATCACTACCTGGGAACTTTTTTCCAATATACAAAGTATTGGGGATGAGGCCACTGGTAAAGACTAAGTCTAAGATGTTTTGATGTCTGGTAGGGCTATCGACATACTGAGTCCATTGTCCAAGCTCTAGACATTCAATAAATGATTCATAACGTCTCGGCGCTTTGACTGGCAGCCAAGAAATTTCGGGCATATTGAAGTCACCACAAATGAGCTTGCCTGTGAATGAGAGGGATGATGCTAATGTGAATACCTCCGACAATACTGTTATTTCATCTATTGATGCGTTAGGTTGACGATAAACACAGCCGAGCAGTAAGGCAGTGGAATTCAACGGCTTTAATACAGTCCACACCAAATCCTTCAGTTTGTTTAGTTCAGGCATATCACATAGCAGTGAGTTTAGGCTAGAGTGAGCGTAAATAAGGTATCCTCCGCCTCGTCCATTCAATCTGTCGCTTCTATATAGAAAATAGTTATCAAGAGATATACTTTGGTCGGAAATATTACTGTTAGTCCATGCTTCAGATATCATAATAAGTGATGGTTGATATATGGATACAAACAGGGCTAAATCCGTCTTTTTGTTGCAGATCGAGCGTTGATAAGACATGTATTAAGCAAGTGGCTTACTAAGTTAAAATGGGTGAGGACATCTCGGATAAAGTCGCCGTAACCCTCGCGGGTGTGAGATGAGTTTGATGTGAGGGATTGGATGTTCTTCATTAGCTCGGTATTTTGATAGCTAGACTCAGTGGGAGATGTATCAAATAAGCTAGTGAAGTTGATTGGGGAGTTTACCCAGGAGGAAAGGGTGGGAGTACTCTCTGATGGAAACGGTACGGAGGAAACAAATTTATGGTTTGCATGTGGCTTGAAATAACTTGGGTTATATGCTTCAACAGAGGTATCACTAAGGGTCTTATTCCAAAAAAATCTTGCACATGCCTACTGTGAAGTGTATGGTTATTTGCAAAATAGTCTTAATGGTTAGACTTGTAGCCCCTGTTATGGCTATTTACGTTAGCATGAGAGGGGTCTGCTACGCGTACCTGGGAGGAGTTGCGACTGTTGTTATACATGGGAGCCGTTGTTATGTGATAGTTCGGTACTAAAGGGTGTGAGAAGTTTTCTTTCTGAGAGTAATTACAGTTGCGATCCTGGGGAACGTAGGTAGGGTGTGGAGTGAGAAACCTATTATTGCCATTCTTATTTATGGTTTTAGGCTTCAGGGGGTGATTTGGGTGGCCAGTACTCTGGTAGTTTTCATTAGTCTGTGTGTAAGAAGGCTTGCTACGCTGAAGCCCACCACCCATTTTGCAACTTAGAGGCGTTGAAGGCAAGTTATACGATAGCAGCGGGGAGAACCTGTTCACTGTTCTTGGGATATTTATAGAGCAGTTGGGTTCAATCTTACGTGTTTCCCTATTCGGTATCATGAGTTTTGTCTTCCCACCCTTTATTTTCAGAGCTTGAGTCTTTCGTTGTCTCTGTGAGATGAACTTACGTTCATTCAAGTCTACTTGTGGAATATCTTCAGGAGGACAAATTTTCAAGTGTATAGGTTTAGTTGGATGTGTGCTATTACACGACTCACATTTTAGTACATTAGTGAACGAACAGCTGGGATTAGCCATGTCGTTATGGTTTTTGGTGTCAGTTGGGGTTCGTATCTTATCCAAAGGTTTCTGATTTGTAGACTCATCTAGATCAACAGAGTGATCAGCCGTATGTGGACTGGTGTCATGCTTATTGTTCGTGTATTTTAAACTATTTGCTGTGTTGCAAACTGTCTCTGGCTGATTATTAACTGTAACACTCTCATTCGATTCTATCGCTTCGCGTCTTCTTACACGACGTTGACAGGGCGTAAGGTCTGGAGTGACTTTTATCTTCTTGTATGGAATTAGTGAGCTAATATTTTGGCTCAAATTAATAAACTGCTTAGCATCGTTACAACAGCCAAACATAAACAAAAGGGGGCAAGTCGATCTGTCTGACTTTTTCTAAGGCGAATGACTTTGCAGTTAACGTTCGGCATACCGCATGCTCTAAGGCAAATATCTCTTAACTTAGAAGGGTGTGTGCGGTCGGGGAGGTTATACACAACTGCATTATAGGAGGACATCACTCTCTTCGTCACTTCTTCAGCCACAAACTCCAAAATACACTCATAGAACAAACTTGTTGAAATACCTTGTGCTAAGAATTCTATATTGTACCAAAAAAATTATATTGAATAAAACCATTAGTAATAATAAAACAACTTCATAATCAATCCCTCATCTCATTAATGCGATAAAAACCTAGTTTATAACCCTGCTTTTAATTACTGAGCTCCTTACTATTACTTCATATTTTGTTTGATATTGAAGGAATAGGTGATGGATAGATGTTGATTTAACAGCTACTAAAACTACATAAACGAGAGAATTCTTTCTAAACCAAGGGATTGGTGACCCTACATTAAGTGAATCGCACAATGCAAGTCAAACTCACATCTGCAACTGGTTCATCGCAATTTTTATAAAAATTCACCAAAATCATAACAAAGCAGCAATCAGAATTAAAGAAATACTAATATGCAACTTCAAGTAATAAACATAGCGAAAAATAAAAACAAGAATTAGGAAATAAAGAACTGAATCCCACGACTTTATATAAATGCCGAATCGCTTATGACTGATAGTCCAATATCGGTATCAAAATTAGGTACATATTATTGATAATACACAAAATATGAAAATAAAAATGTATATCAAAGTCTAGCATCTTTAAATATACGCCTCATGGTCACACTCACTCCGGAACGACTTTGACATGAATTAGAAAGATAATTTATACTAAACCGATAGGGTGAAATCCCGCACATAGAGAAGTCAATGATGTGTTCTGTTTCCACTTGTGAGCTACCTAAAGATGGAGCATAAGCTGAGGGAGAGTTGAAGTGTTCGAGAATGTTGCACAATTCATCTCTTAGTTGACTGCTAATTTGACGACGATGATCCTCTTTTTCTGTGGTAAACAATCAGTTTGAAACAATAGTTGTTAGAAGACAATTGATGAAAAGAATCATAAGTGATAAATCACCGCAAAACAAGAAAATGAAACATCATGTAACTGAGTGAAAACTTAAAATTTTTTAACTCCTAGACTAATAACGTTGTACCAAACCGCCCATAAAAAAAGACTTTAAGTCAACACTTTAATATTATACACGTATATGCCGACTGCTTGATAAAACGCGTAACAATCATTTGAGCCAATTTCAGATAACTAACAACTAAAAGTGAATGTGAATTTACTGTTTCTTGAAGAAGCGACTGTTTTTGTAGTATTTAAGAATGTTCTAGGCATTCTGCAAGAAACTGTTCTTGTTATATTCCTATCACAGTAACTTCATTTTGATAACAATCCAACCAAATTATAACGTTTTTGCACTCTGTAAATTCTCATACTCGTCTTCTAGTTTCGTTCAAGGTGATTGAAATCCTCCGTTATTTTATGTTCTTCACGTAGCTAAGATACCTATTTCCTATTCTAGACACTTATTACCTTTATCTTTTCTTCAGCTGTCTTTTATGTTCTGGAAATATCCATCTAAATATGCTATACAGACAAAACCCCCTTCTTTAAGTAACCAGTTGACAGAAACCCTAAAATAAAATGAAATCAAACTATTTTACTTCATTTTTATTCTTGAACCATCAAAAGAAAACAATGCAAGTCACTATAAAGTCAACAAAAAGCAACAAGCCTGAAGTTCCCTAATATCGAAACTCAAAAAATTAACAAGTTCGTGTACTTATGTGGGGTTCTCTTTCCGATTAACATCATAGATTAATGATTTTTAATACAACTCCATGCATGAAAATCACCCAACATTGGGCATAAATTGAGCCACCTTGTAAATCGAATAAACTGGCAACTGCAAAACACAATTGCCACAATCCAAAATAATCACCAATAGAAAAACTATAGTAGACGATCTCTGAGAAAGGTTTATTAAAGTGGAATTTCTAACAGTTCTGCTACGACGTTGTTTATCGCGATTCAGTGGTTCTACATAACGGATCACTAAGTGTTTACATCCCAGAAACATACTAAATAGCTTTTTTATGACAAATACCATTGTTTAGATCGAAATCGGTACAGGTTTGTACTCAACTGAAATTATGTCAAGTATCCTGATGAGTGTAGCCAGTGAATACTAATGTGAGGCATTTGGAATATACCCTAGTTGCCCATATTTCTATAACATGAGAACGATACGAACTCAAAGACTAATTATTGATAGCATAGTGACTAAACCACTCATTGAACTGGACATTAATTCAGTAACGTGTCAACACCCACTGAATTCGAGATAAAATGAAGATGCTCAAAAACATCTAGGTTACCATTCGCACTGACGCTTTTCAGAATCACATTTACAATCCAACGTTCCCAAGTTGCGGCTTCTGGTCCCAACCAAACCCCTTTTCTGTGAACCACAAACTCCAAGTTAATTGCGCCACGAACTTCGCCATTATTGTTAGATGAACAGCTATCACGATGCATGGCTTCAACAAAGGCTGAAACTGAAGTTGCCACTTTTTCGATAAGTTGGTTGGAGTTTATACATACCTGGTAGAAGTTTAAACAGAAGCCAAACAAACTGTAAATTACATGCAGCAACACTCATCCAACAGACTATAATCAGCATGAAATTACATTATACGACCTTAATAAAGTGGACAGTTCAAAACGTTATTAACAGGATGAAACGTCTATAGTTTGGTTGCTGAGGAAGCGAAAAAGTTTTTTTTAATCGACAGTGATCCATTCTGTTAGTCAATTATGAACAACGTAAGACCTGGGAAATATGGTCATCGGTTTAATTTCCACACCGTATCAGTAGAGCGGGCTGAAACTGTTCAGATAAAAGCCAAAGTACTAGATGTAATAACAGTATCAGTGGTGGTAAGACCATTTGGTATAGACAATGATTTGAAAATTCGGGGAATAAGTCAGGGATAGCTTTAAAACTCGAGACCTAAGGGATGACGAGTTAATGTATATGGGCCATAGTGACAGATATTGACTAATGCAATCCGTCTTCAACTATTAATTTCAATAATCGCATGAAACTTAACCATGTAATCTGTAATAACTAATACAATTTAATCTGAAAGTCAGTGACTTCATGGACCGATGCTACATCTTGTTTTGGCCCCCATAGCTTTTTTCCAACGGAACTCCACATCGGCTAAAATCTATTAGAACACGTAATATCAATACCTGTTGGTATATCCGAATAGTAATTGAACCTTTATAGTAATACAAATTGCGAGGATTAATATTATTTGCTTGATCTATCCTTAAAATCGAACGCTGAGTTAAGCGGTGGCTGGGAATGATGAATTTAGCTCCTATGATCAGGTGATAACGAAATAAATGTTTATTAACATCATTTACGTCAGGTCAGGTCAGCAACAACGTATAACTTCGTACGTACGTACATCAGTTCAAATTGTCATACCACATTAGCACAGAGATACGATTGTCGATTCAAATCCCACAGTGGTAGAGGTAGTAAGAGTATAAAGCAGTAATCGGTAAGATCATGGTTTGAATATGTTATTCAAGGACTATAACCCAGTAAAACAAATATGGAAAGAGAAAGAAGGAGACATGAAGAATTCGAAAGGATACAGAGTGGATGCACCTGTGCCACTGCAAACGATTTTGAGTCATGTCATTCAAGGTCTCTAACCATCGGTTGCTATCGTCTCGAGTACGTACTTGGACATTTAGTTGTGTAGACAGATAAAGCATACGGACAGTATAGAGTAGATTTATCTCAAATTGTCATACTGACTATCTCAATCCATCTAAAAAGCCAACAATTTTTTATGAATTGGACATTTAGTTTTGTTACAAATTACTGAAATTGAGCTTTCTTACAAACACCCCAAATGCCCTGGTATGGCTGAGAGTGGGGTGGGCTCGGCCTCCCTCTCGAAATGCTCTCACACGACTACGCGTACACAGCCTCTGCCAGGGAAGTCCTACTCACTGCCTTCTCGTGTCGCGGGTGTTGTTTAAAAAAATGAGAGGACGAAAAGCGAATGTCCGGCATTTTAACCGGATCCCAAACTAATGGTGCACATGGGCTTCAGTATCCTGGGGGAACAGATGGCGTATGAACCAATTTATGGTCACCAGCTTCCATGGGACTGCATCTCCTCACGATGCTCCACTGCCTTGTGGATCAGACCTTCAGGTCGAAGGCTCGGGGAGTGGCCCCCTAAGAAAATCACGTGCTCCGGTTTGGGCACCCGGGCAGTATCACAACCCTCACACATATCGAATGATATTTGTGTGGCGCATATGTATTTGGTGCCTCTTTGTACCATTATCTATGTGTTGAAATAAATAAATAAATAAAAATAAATCTTTTAAACTATAGTGTGAATGTTTTGTTTTCTCACGAATATAATCCTAGAGGACTTTTTCATACATTTTTGTGAGGACCCCTTTACTCTACACGCAATTCGAAAGTGAAACGAAAACAGTAATTAACCTTAAAAATAGGAATAATGCTCCTAAATTCCAGGGAGAGTAGAAAATCTGGTTCTTACTGTTATGCCCCAATAATATTTTTCCTTTGGTCTTATTTAACACCATCTAGAACTAGGGTTGAACACTCTGAATGTGTATAAGTGGAGTATCAGTTCGGACGTGACGATATGAGATAGATGAGCCAAGTATTATATTTGAATTACTTTAAAATACACAACCTGAAAAAGTTGGATCGTCGAGTTAAGAACGATATGATTCAACCACATATGCTTTCCTTGCCAATGGTAATAACAGTCAACCATCATTAATCAATCATTGATACCTAAACAACACTATATTTACATAGCTCTATGAATCCATAGACCGCATAAAAGTTTGAGTCCTAGTGGAAATTCCAGCCCACAATAAGTATATGTAGCCCGTCTTTTTACTGGTCTGTGCATACAGTAGACGAAGTAACTCTCCAGTCACTAAAAGGCAGTTTATTTGACTCCCCAATCCGCTTAAAAACAGGATGTGCAATTTGTTTCCTCTTATGCAGATGAGTTACAGATATACAGTCTTTCTCAATGTGATTCACTGTCACTCAACCCGAAATACAGTTACGTACCTATCCTTGCTTACAAACCATTGAATCTGTACAAGTGACTAAGGAAACTGTTCTTCCGTTGATAAATAACCTCAAACCTGGTAAGATACTGGGCGCTGACGGGTTACATCCACGATTGCTGTCATCACTTGCGGACATTATTTCAAAACCGCTCGTGACACTCTTCAACACGTCCCTTTCAATCGTTTAACTCCCTAAAGATTGGAAGGACGTTATAGTCAGTCCTATATTTAAGGACGGTCAGAGACAGATAGTATCTAACTACCGGCCTGTTAGTCTAACTAGTATAGTCGTTAAGTTACTTGAAAAGATAATTCGGGTTAAGTTGCTAAGCCACATAGCTTCACACAAACTGCTAGCTCCTAAGCAACACGGATTTCGTAATAAGCGTTCATGCTTCATTAACATGCTTATTGCGAGGGAGGATTGGACAGCAGCTTTAGATAACAGTCTGTCTGTCGATGTGATATTTATAGATTTTAGCAAAGCATTTGACAAGGCTTCACACGTAGGTCTTATGCAGAAGCTCACGACCTTCGGAATAATAGGTACTGTACATGAGTGGATAGGAAATTTCTTATGTGACCGCAGACAGAGAGTGAGGGTCAACGGAACGCTATCCGATTGGAAGCCGGTCAAAAGTGGTGTGCCCCAAGGCACCATCTTAGGCCCTCTGCTCTTCCTTCTCTACGTTAATGAGTTACCGCTGTTACTTAGGTCGTCGACATTATTGTTTGCGGATGATGTAAAAATCGGGAGAACAATAAAAAGTGCGGCTGATCTTCTGGATCTTCAAGCTGACTTAGACGATTTAGTTAGATGAGCTCGAGAGTGGGGCTTAGAAATCAATGCTAGGAAGAGTGTGCTAATGCACATCGGTCACGGTAGTAGTTACCGTTACACTATTGAGGGTAAACCTCTTCCATGCGTTCAACAGCATAAAGACTTAGGAGTAATATTAAGTCATGATTTAAAAACTACTATGCATTGCAGGGCAGCCGCTGTCAAAGGTTTTCGTGAGTTATGGTCACTTCGCCAAGCGTTTAAGTCTTTTAACAAGGAAACGGTTCGAATTTTGTACCCCACATGTCTAAGACCACATTTAAAGTACTGTCTACAAGCAGCTAGCCCATGACTGGTAAAGGATACTAACTCACTTGAGCGTGTCCAGAGTGTGGGAACGAAATTAGTGAAGTGTCTTTCTAGACTCCCTTACGATGAGCGTTTAAAACGCCTAAATCTTTTCCCCTTGTCGTATCGTAGGACACGAGGTGACCTTATAATGGCATTTCGTACCTTTAATTATGATTTTGGTGTTAATGTGTCTTATATTTTTGCTCCCTCCTTCACTAATAATCTCCGAGGTCATAGCAAGAAGGTTCATAAACCACGATCTAATAAACTTAAAGTGGGGTCCCGTTTTTCTCATCGAGTAGTCAATCATTGGAACGCCTTAGTAATATTTATGTCTTCAGTCTTCAGTAATAAGGATAAGGATAGGAGGTCTATCGACCTATATTAATCCTTTCAGTTTGTAATACTGTGGAGGTCCAACCTCGTTTTGAATATATTAACAGACGATGCTGATATTACGTGTTCCGGTAGAGAATTCCAGTAATTCACTACTCGGTGCGAGAAACGGAACTCCAGACGTAAACGGTTTGATCTCGGTTTTTGAACTTTCTTCGAATGTCCTCTCAAATGATCGGTTCTAGACGGAAGCAAAAGATAAGACATGTTAATACCAAGGTCATCGTTCAGTATACGATAGGCCAATATTAGATCACCCCGTATTCTACGGTAAGATAACGGAAATAAGTTAAGGTGTCTCAGTCTGTCTTCATAAGATAGGCCAGCTAGACCTTGTACCATCTTAGTAGCTCGTCGTTGAACTCTTTCTAGCATATCTGCTTCATACTTGAAGCAAGGAAACGTTGCTTGAATCCCGTATTCTAAATGTGGTCGCACATAAATCGGGTATAGTAATCTAAACATTTCATCATCTAAATACTGGAAAGACGTACGAATTGACCATAATACCCTATAGCCTTTTGCAGCAGCAGCCTTACAGTGACTAGCGGTTTTGAGATCATTGCTTAATATGACTCCTAAATCGTTATAGTTTCTTGCTTTGGGTAGCACGAATCCACGTAGTGTATAGTCATACGATTCATCAGAGTTATTTAACTGCATCACTACACTCTTATTAGGATTTACTTCTAGTGACCACCTGTCTAACCATGCCACCAATAGCTAAGATCGTCCTGTAATACTATTCTATCCGATATACTATGTATGGGTCTCCAAATCTTTATGTCATCAGCGAAGATTAGGACGGATGATTTTGCTACAGTTGGCAATTCATTTACATAAAGTAAAAAGAGAAGAGGACCTAGGATTGTACTTTGGGGAACCCCACTTTTTACAGGTACCAACGAGGAGAGAGCCCCATTAACCCTTACCCTTTGTCTCCTGTCATGGAGGAAGGTACTTATCCAATCGACGACTGTATAATGGATTCCAAAACGTTCCACTTTGAATTTAAGACCAGAGTGGGAAACCTTATCAAAGGCTTTACTTAGATCTATGAAAATCACATCCACAGGAGCATTCAGATCCTTTGCCGCAGCTCAATCTTCTCGTGCAGTGAGAAGAATTGTCAAGCAAGATAGGCCTTTGCGAAAACCATGTTGTGCCCTGGAGAAAAGATTTTGCCCTTCAACATAGTTTATAACAGCTATCCGAATGATTTGCTCCATCAGTTTTACAACTGCACTAGTTAAGCTAACGGGTCTATAGTTACTAACTAAATCCCTACTCCCAGCCTTATACACCGGACTTATTATGGCGTCTTTTCAGTCTCTAGGAAGTCTGGACTGTCTCAGAGACATGTCGAATAGTATCGCTAATGGTTCAGCAATTTCATCTGATATGGCTTTCATAATCCTAGGATGAATATCATCAGGACTACTGGACTTATCAGGTTTGAGATGCTGAAGTAGCCTTAAAACAGTATCTTTCTCAATGACTACAGGATTCATCAGCGAGCCGTCACGGTCGCGATGAATCGTTGGTCGTTCCTCATTACCGATAGAAAACACGTTACTAAAATATTCCGGTAAAGCTTCAGCTTTTTCGGCATCATTCTCTGCTAAGATTAACGGATTATCTCGTATCAAAAGTGATGGAATTCCATAGCTTCTCTTAGTTCGCCTTTTTATATACGAGAATAACCGTTTCGGACTATATCTAGAATCCCTAACCAAATGTTTTTCGTATGATAGTCTAGTCTTGCTTATTAACGCTTTACAGGCATTCCTAATCTTACAATAACTGGGTCTGTATTGTTCTAAACCAGTAGAGATGAACATATTCCAGTGATTTTTCCTTCTTCTAAGGAGTTTCTTGACCGTTTTAGTTATCCATGGTGGACTGTTATTCGGTCTTCATGGTACCAGGTATGGTATGAACGGGGACGTAACTAGTCTAAATTTACCTTTAAATACAAACCATGCTTCTTCAACTGATATGCTAGTATCTACTAACCAATCTGTCTTAACAGCGCATTCCTGAATGGCTGATATGTTAGCTTTCCATACATTTGGGCGAGGTGTAACCTGATCGTATAACATGTCCCTAGTTCTAAACGCGAATGACAAAACAGCGTGATCGCTGTTCATTAAAGGTGGAAGAATATTTAAGTCGACAATATCCTCAGTCTCATGAGTGATTACCAAGTCCAGCAGAGAAGAACCCTGGTTAACACCAAAACGTGTGGGTTAGGATACATGCTGCACTAGTGCATGCTCCATCATTGTTATCAGGAACCTACTATCAACGGAGTTTATAGATCCTTCTGTGGTCATATCAGTCCAACTAATATCAGGTGCGTTAAAGTCTTCTATTATCAAGCATCTGGTATTTTCACTCCGAAGATGAATGTGCTCTAAAATAAAGTCATCAGCTAAGCAGATTGGGCTGCGATAGATGACACCTAGCATAAATGTACTACATCCTATAGCCAACTTAAAGCTAATGACAAGTGCCGCTGTCATGGGATTTGCTATTAGAGGAGCGGATATTAAGCTATTGGGTATATATAACAGGACGCCGCCTCCTTTTCTACATCTATGTCTATCACTCCTGATGTAATGGTATCTGGATAATTCTGGAGTAATGTCTAATTCATGGACTAACCAAGTTTCTGTCACTGCTAATTTGAGTGGCTTTAACCTGTTCACTGGCGCTTCTAGTTCATAGAACTTATTTCTTAGACTACGAGCGTTGGCATATAAAACTCCTAAGTAGAAGAGCCTATCCACACAGGCCTTGGTAGCATTCGCTTCCAAGACCTGACTATCCAAAACCCACTAGCCGGAGATTTTCCTCACCGTTTTGCCGACGGTTTTTAAATTCAACTAGTGCTTTCTTCCTTATTATTCTACCTTCGAGAGACATGTCAGGTCTAACTCGGATGTCAGAATTGTCGTGACAACGAGCGCTACTTAACAAGAGATCCCGTTGTTTCTTCGACCTTAGGATTACCTTAAGGAGTCTGCATGGACGGGGTTCAACATTGTCCTCTGTCCTATTGCCTATTTTAACCAATTTTTTGACCTGAACTCCTTTGGAGTTATCTGGTAAAATACTACGAATGTATTCTCCTAGCTTTTCTAAGTCATGCGCGTGTCTAATTTTCGGATCAGGGTCGTTTGACTCCCGCAATTTGCTCACAATAATATTCGATATTATTAGATTTTTCTTCTCAGTCACGCCAGGATGGGTTTCACTCTTACCATCAGGTCTTGGTAGTGCAATTTGTGGCTCACAATTTGAGTCCACCAGTGAGTTACTAACTACCTGTGTACTGCTTACAGCTTTTTTCTTTTCGTTTCCTACGTACCGTAGTCCACTTTTCATCCCTCATAACACTGGGACTATTTGGAACGGTGACTGTTTTATCCAGATCTTCGGTTTCCACTAAAGGTGCATTATTAACAATGTCAGTACCAGGTGGTACTACTCCCCCTGTTAATGTCAACGGAGATTTCACTTTTACGTCGGTCAGAGTAGGTTGTTTGAAGCGTCGCGTAACAGCAGGCACTACACTGACATATTCGTCACTGTCAGTGCCCGTGTTGTCAGCGCATATGCCATCGTTCTTCTTACAGACCAAAGCCAATAAGGCTCATACCCTCCTGTATTAGTAATGCCTTGTTGGCATAGCAAAACATGCAAAGCCAGTGTGAGTTAGGCTTCGAACATCTTTTGTATGTGGTGGGACTAAAACGGGTGCACATTTTGTGGAACCACTTATTGCATTCGTCACACTGCATTCTGTCCTCCACAGGGAACAAACAGTTTGGTTGTCCACATTTGTAAGTACTACCAACCATTTTAGTCAGATCAAGGTGTAACACACAATATGATCACAGTACGAGCACAAATGTCAGTCAACGAATAAAAGGTTACCACAAGACAAACTTTAGCAGGATTTTAAACCTTAACTAAAGTACATTGATACAGACCAAGAATGATTTCGAATGTAATAAATACACAAAAGCCAAAATACTCAATAGAATATCACTTTAACTGTAGTGGATTCAACTAAAGTGTAAATCGTAGTTTTGATGCGTAATTTACGATCAAAACAGTTAACTAATTCAACGAGAAACAATACCACTGTCCTTTTTAGATAGCGCGCGTTCATACCCGAACAAGTGGTATCAGCCCCATCAGTGAATACTTTCAAGAAGCTGGACCTTCACTGGAAGGCAATCTGTCAGGATTAATACAGGTTCATTAACCTACTATCCTTATTACTGAAGACTGATTTTGGGGACTAGTCGAGTGAGGTAAAGTGCCCGTAAAAGCCAAACGAATAAGGGTATCTGAGTCGAATAATGAAAGACTTAACATGATACAAAGTTCATCACAACGATTAAGATTACTGAACAACGTTTAAGCGATCTTTGCCTGGATTTATGTCCACTCTGAAGCATAAACGACTCTAGAACCACACAAGATACACCATAGAACACTCACTAGGAAGTATGGAACTTACGTAGGTCAAGTCAAGACTTTTACAATCCACATCACATATACCAAGATAGGAGTTGTAGCTCACTGCTCCTCCTTTAAAATCAAGCTGTATTGAAATAAAATAACTACAGAAACTCACAGTCGGCAACGTCCTATGAAGTAAAATTGTATGAAATAAAGCTGAAACACAATGTTACAACAAATTAGATACCTGAAACAACATCCGAAATTTCAGGCTCTACAACAGACTATTAAAAGGATTAAAAAGCTGAAAAAGCATACGAAGATAAAGGAGTATTCTCTGCAGTTCATCACAGGTAGGTCCAGGTCAAATTCACCACCACGACCTTGAGTGGCATTGTTGAAGGCGACCATTCCGTATTTGTGGTGCTCGGAGTTGGGCACTGTGCAAAAGCTGGCTAAAAGTGTTTCCCTGGACTTTCGTACGTTACCATGGTATTTATTGAAATCATTAAAAATAAGAACTACAGTTGGTGATCACATGCAAACTCTTATTTTAGAAGCATAAACGCTTATATAGACGTTTTCTATGGCAGAATACTACCACAAGTGGTATAATGACAGTACTATCAGAGAGATGTATTCATTAATATTAACCAAAAAACTGGTTTTGAGAGGGAGATTGTCGCTGTGAAGTGTTCTGGACATTTAACTGTTGAAATACATCAATGTCAATAACAATAAATTATGGAATTAAGCTATTCGAAACTATTTTGTCCTTTTCTATAATACGCAGAGTAGTGACAAAGCTAACAGAGCCACTAACGAAAACAATTGGGTTGTTTCATTCATAACCGTACTTTCAATGATGGGAACTGGTACCAGATATATTAACTTCGCAGTTCACAGCTTCGACTTACGATCAAATTTGAAATGGTTGATATAGGCCTATGTGTATGGGCCACGACATTTAGAATCATCATAAGTTTTAACACAATGGGAATTACAAAATGAACTGCAATGGTACTTTTAGAAGTTTCATTTCCAATACGAAAGGATGTACGAAATTGAGTATACAGTCGTGTGCATTTAATTATTTTGTGTTGAGTAACATAGTGTCCCTAATATCAATGTTTACTTCTGAACATATGGTTTCACTACACAATAGGTTATTCCTTGTTCTATGTAAAGAAGTTCTGTAGAATCTTATTACAAGTTATCTCCCCTGGAAAGATCAATATACAGATGCAAGTGTATCTATTGCCCTTGCTTTACGAGAGTTCACTGGAATAGTGTAAACCAACGTCCATTAGTCGGTTACACGACTTCCATTTCGGGAATCAGAATGAATACACTACTTTTCTTAGAACTTTAATTATCCCTTTAGATAAGGTTATGCATGTCCCTGTACAATAAAGACGTTAATAAACCGAGTTATACTAGACAGTAACAATCTAACTGGTTAATAGATGAATACTATATATCGGGGCGCGCATGTACTACATGGAAATAGGTTGTCGATATGATAATGACTTTAAGTAACATGAACATAACTGATTTATCCTAGTAGCTTGATTAGACACTATGAGTCTGTCACATTTGGTATCTCACAAACCTGTCGTTAGCACCTATAATTTTCAGTCACACCGGCCTACCTTCCCATATTATTGGGAATACGAAACTAATTGTTTAGGGATTATTGGATATTGTCTTAGAACATTCATAATATAAAATGTACATTTGAATGCACGTTATCGTGAAAAATTTTCTAAGTTCAGCTTTCCAGATAGTTGTCTGATAGAGATGACACAGGTATTGAAAATAGTTCAAATGGTTGTGGACGGAATAGAAGAAGCTTTCGCTTAACAGGCTTCCATGTCTATTAGCAGGGGATCACGATTAACTCCAGGCAGGAACCTAGGTATGTTAACAATAAAAGAGGAAAAAGAAATCGGTAAATCATAGTATGATACTATCTTTAATCCTTAAAAACAGATCGAGTTGCCTATTAAAGGTCTCCTGGGAAGTCGCTTGGACTAGCTCGGCCGGCAGCGAATTCCAGCATTTGACAACTCTTAAGGAGTAGAAGTTGTGTCTACAGTCCGTTCTGCCATATCGTGTTTCCAATCTCTGGGTGTTACCTCTTAGGTTAGTGTTGGAACTAAGCTTAAGTAGGTGCTTGAGATGATGTCCAGAAGTGTTAAGGATACTGTAAGCCATCATAACGTCACCTCTAAGACGTCTATACTCTAACGGGTAAAGGTTAAGTGATTGAAGAAGCTCTCCATAAGGTTTGAGTTTGAGTCGCCTAACTGATTTCGTGGCTCGCCGTTGGATACGCTCCAGAGTGTCCTTGTCCTTCTGGAGTGAGGGAGGAAATACTCTGTTTCCATACTCTAAATGGGGACGGATGAAACTATTGAAGATTATAAAGAAAGTTCTTACGTCAAACTGGCCAAAAATGCGCTACAACGTAACCAGTGCAAGGTTTGCTCGGAAGGCATTTTCGTCACAGTTAGCATAAGAGACTTATGCTTTGAAGTATTTTAAATCATAGGGCACCAGGACTCCTAAATCTTTTTCGACTCGGGATACTACTAGCGAGGAGTTTCCTAAGTTGTAACTGCAGTCTGCAACATGTCGCATATGGACCAATTTACACTTTGAAGTGTTAAAGGTAAGTCCGTTATCGTCTGCTCAACTTTGAAGTTGAGTCAGATCCTCCTGAAGTGCTTGTATATCGTCTTCATCGCGTATCTCTCTCCAAAGTTTCACGTCGTCGGCAAAAAACAATAAGTCTGACGTTACCTGTTGGGGAAGATCATTTATGTAGATCAAGAAGAGAAGAGGTTCTAGTACTGAGCCCTGGGGGACCCCACTAGGACATTCCATAGCCTGAGATAAAGTGAAATTAACCATAACATTAAAGTGTCAAGTTTTCAGGTATGAAGTAAGCCAATCGACTAGAGGTGGTCTGATACGCAGTCGTTTGAGCTTATTGATAAGACATAAATGGTTAGCTTTATCAAAAACTTTTGAGAAATCTAGATAGATGATATCAACCTTCCCATTGTGATCGAGGATGCTTGTCCATCTTTTCACCGCAGTCAGAAGGTTGGTTATACAAGAGCAACCATTCCTGAAACCATGCTGTTGTGGTGAGAAGAAATTTAAGGACAGTAAATAGTCTTTTATACCATCACATATCAGGGACTCCATGATTTTCGAAGGTATTGAGAGAAGAGCCACCGATCGGTAACTTGAAGGTTCGCTGCGTCGACCCTCTTTGAAAATTGGTGTTATGTGAGCCAGCTTCCAATTTTCCGGTAGTTTTTCTCGCCTTAGCGAGTGTGATAAAATCACGGTAAGCGGTGTTGCCAGGATTGAGGCTGCTTCCCTCAGTATGGCATAATGAACCATATCCAGGCCAGGAGAAGTGTCAATTCTTAAGTGCTGCAGTTTCCGGAACACCAAGTCAGCGCTCGGGTTCACTTCGGAAAGTCCTTTGGAGTTGCAGATTAAGCTTTCGTCAGTATAGTTTATGTGGGTCGGTTGAAATGTCCAAGAGTATTGTCCAGCCAAAAGGTTAGCGGCGTCGCCGTCGTCACAGGTCGGGCCGTTAAGACCTAACAGTTGGGAACTCCAGTTTTGGCTTGACGAAGAGAGGCTGCATAACGGAATAAGGTTTTCGGATTACAGACAAATTTCTCCATAAGCTTTGTCTGGTACTGAAGCCTGTCTTCTCTTATGGCCTTCATGCATATGTTCCTTATATGTTTAAATTGCCTGTACGCTCCATTGTTGTCGATTCGTTTGTACTCCGCTCATCAGTGCCTTTTGCGGCTTAGCAGGCAACGAGTGTGGTTCTTAATGATTGTGGGTTGCTGATAGCTATGTGGGACCGTTTGAGGAACTGAATGATTTGCAGCATATATGAGCGTGTGCAGTAAGATGTCCCAATGAGCATCCACATCGAGTAAAATATGTAGTCAAAGCCTCGAATTATCAACACTTCGGCTTTTAAAACCCCGCGTAAAGTCAAATTCCCTTGGCACGACTAAATTCTTCATAGTTAACGGAAGCATTGTTAACGACCCGGAATACTATGTGCTAACAATTCAGCAAGCACTTCTCGTAATGCTACAAAATTGGAACTGAAAGCTCTATCATTACATTTCCAATGCTGACATACAGATACCTATGGAAAACCGATTTTATACCCTCCAACATCAAACAAGCCATAGCTGCCCTGAAAAGTCTTTTGATGGTGGGCCTGACGGGATCCCTTCATCATTTGTGAAATATGGGAGTAGACAATTTTCATTATTTTGTTCGAAATTTTTCAACCCATCTATGTAGTATGGGACCTAACCATCTGTGTGGAAAACACCTCTTATCACCCCTAGATTCGAAACAGGATCATGTAATGATATTGGTAACTGTAGGCCAATTAACTTGACATCCGTGCTATCAAGAACCATGGAAAATTCATCCACAAACAACAATTAACGTCTTTACTTTCGGCTAGTCGGATTAGCCCATCCCAACATGGGTTTATGACTAAACGCTCATGTTTCACATCGCATCTGGAATTTTTTGATTAAATTACCCAGAGAGGAGATGTTGGTCAGTCAGTGATAATTCTTTACTTCGATTTTAGTAAAGCTTTCGACAGTGTCTCACACAAACTTCTTCTTTTAAAACTCTCTTCATTTGACATACAGAATCCCCTTTTATCTTGACTCAAATCTTTTTTAGAAGAACGTAGCCAAATCGTTCGCCTTGGATCTTGCTACTCTAAACCTGTGAATGTAACCAGTGGGGTTATACAAGGAAGTGTGGTTGGTCCATTACTCTTTCTCCTTTTTATCAATGACGTGTGTTCCCACTTTCAATATGGTAAACCTTTCCTTTTTGCCGATGACCTGAAAGTAGTTTATTCATTCTCTTCTCCCACTGAAGAAAAATATATTTCAGCGGTAATCCAAGAAGAAATAAACAAGTTGTACGAACGAACTGTTTCGTGAAATTCTCCACTTAATGTTGACAAAAGTGGATTTATTCACATTGGTCGCTGCCTTAACCTAAACCTGGCTGTACAAAAACATACACTGAAACCTCTCAACACTGTTCGTGACTTGGGCTGAAGATATAGCAACAGTTTGAACTGTTCTGAGCACATTGCATCTCAAGTATCCAAAGCTGGAAAGCTCATTGAATTTATAATGATAAACTTCAATAATTTCGAGTCGAGATTATTATTATACAGAAAATGTGTCTTACCTATTCTCGAATATAGTATTTTAGTTTACAATAATTGACCTGATTAAAATTGAAGGTGTTCAAAGAAAATTCACCAAATCTGTTTTGGGGGATTCCGACAACAAGAAATATCACCAGAGTTGTCAACAACTCAAAATAGAACCTCTCGGGATCAGGCTTATCAAATTAAAACTTGTCTTTATCTCCCGGTTCA